AGCGAATAAAATTTGCTATCCGGGCAGCTACATCTCACCCGGCGAAGGCGTAACGGATGAAGTCACCGCACGCACACCGAAGACTCGATTGGCATTAGCAAAAGTGAAACATTTGTGGCGCCGTCGCGGAGTCCGGTTGTCGAGTATATGCTGCAGCAGTTCGGCCACTTCTGCTCTACGGCGCAGAGACTTAGTCACTACGAAGACAGGATAAAGATGGACTGTCGGTGTTCGAACACCTCTGTCTACACCCCACTGCACGAGTCTGATAGGGAAACCGGACAAACAGTTCTTGGGTTAGGTGCAGAGTTTTATGTGATCACAGGTGCCCACCGGAACAAGTGACTGATATCCATAGATTGGATTCCGCATATGTTTCACAGTGAACCACAATGCAAATAAGGAAACAGAAATTGTGGCATAAACTCAAACGATGCATCCATCTGCACAGATTACAAATGCCTGTTAAATGCATGATAACGGTGACAAAACGCTTGTCAAAGCAGGAAGAAGTGAATTATTGGTTCCCAAAGTTATTTTTACCTTCCCCAATTCCGACCACGAAGCCGCGAAATACCGTCCCGCATGTTGGTGACCTCGTACACGATTCACTGTGCCACTGTGCTCAATGGTAGCCGCTTCCAGTTCCGGTTGTGCGTCCAAATTTTCATCATCCTCATCGGAACTTTCATCGTCCGATTCATCTTCGTCATCTCCCTCGGTATTCTTTCCAATGTTGGCAGCGGAGGAGGATAAAGGAAACACGAGAATTGTTAAAGTAAACAAATAACTTCATCGGCACACCGATTGTGTAACATGAAATAAGTGATGTTTTGTTAGAATTTTATCCTCTTATTGGACCACGATGCTTGTTAGTAAGAGGTCTAATCATGATTTCATTACTATCAGATTCTTTCGTCTACTACATTGAAATTAAATGTTATGGGTGCAGAGGAGCCATTAGACTTTACCTACCGGTAGATCAGTATCCTTCTAAATTTTCTGTGTAAAACCCAAATGTATTCAATACCCTCTTTGCGACAGCACTTAACAGCGAGGTCACGTTCAACGGAAACAATTGTTTCTTATTCGCATCTATGGCTGTGATAAACTTTCCAAACGTGAATGACTCCTGTAAACTCAACGTGACTATTTCCGTTCTAGTTCGTCCGAGCAGCTCAGCGAGAACTTATCGCTATGCCTTGTTAAGAGGAGTTGCTCATTTTTTAAATCCGATATAGTGCTATGCTGTCCTAGTATGTTTTTGGAATGCGTGGAGATGACGATGAGTCTGGAGCTTAGTTGTCTCGGACGCAGCGAATGTGAGGGTAAGTCCATTTTGTCGTAAACGACAGTTGTTAAGAAATGGCAAATACGGAGGTAAAAATAGACCTGTATTTTCGCATTTCAAATTTCACAACGGAGCCGAAATGAAGGGCGACTCCGGATTACTGGACGCTTTTGCAGGGCCGCCAACAGCCACTAGTTGGATATAAGGCTAGCCTGAAAGCGGTAAGATATCAGGCTGATTGACGATTTCAAATGCTGTTGCTTGCGCCACAAAGCGAAAGCCAGTATGCATATACAAGGCACCAACAAAGAAAAATACGGTCTCTTCTCCGACGACCATCGCTAAACTCTATGCAATAGAAAAACCTGTGATACAGTAAGCTGGCTCTGAATAATAGTAGTCTGCATTGATCTAGCTTCTCACACGCCACGTGTAGAATAACTCATGAAATTGATCAATGAGGATAGTGCATGCGAAAGTAGGCGCTGACCGCTTCGCAGGAAAACACTACAAAGTGATACACGAACAGAGGCGAACCAACAAGTTGGCACGTGACGAACTTCGCGTACGAGATTACTCAACAAACTAGCACATTAACTCGATTGGTAATCAAACAACATCAAAAAGTAAACCTATCGGAAATCACGAGTAGTGGAAAACATAAACCAGCTTTATGATGGAAGGGTGTCCGCTGAAAACTTTCAAACGGACATCAGAACCAATCCCATCACTATCCCCTCATTCGCCCACTAGATTAGAATGTTCACTATTTTTGATATAACCATGCGGTGGTTCATGATAATAGGGAACTGAATTGGCAAGCGAAAATGGTGTTCATCATTTAAACCACAACACATCCGTCACGATTCCACACTGAACGTCATCTCAACACATGCATTCCGTAGACACCGAGCAAACTGTCAGAATTGTAAAACGTACTTTCTTATGAAAAGGTAACATGTTGCTCAACCGTAGCACGACCAAATGGTTCTTCTTTCCACGACAAGCTTGTGTGCCGGCTATGAGACAGGCACTAATTGGTGGACCATTCAAATCAACCGGCCGATCATTTCCCAAATTGTCCAGCAGAACATCAAAGCTCAAACTCGCCGATTCAAGTTGAAATTCGTGGAACAGACGATAGGCAGACTTGTCCATTACGAGCATCTCATCTTCCATTAACGGTCGGGACTGACCGGGAATATAGACGCTAGGTTCTCCAGTATCTTCTTCGTCACCTTCGAGTTCATCGCCATCTTCGTTCTCAGCTAACTCCATGGCATCGGGAGTAGCGTTTGTGACAATCTTCTTTTTCTTTTTCTTGGCTCTTCTTTTTTTGTCCTTAGAACCGTCGACAACTTCGGACATATCTACATCCTCGCTTTCATTTGCTTCCGATTCGTGAGATGCCATTCGAAGTGATTCTGTGTCAGTGCACAAATCACACCGGAAATATGACAAGAACGTGAAGGAATACCGGTTTGTTATGTTAATCGAAATACATTGCAAAAGAGAATTGAAACACATTGAGGAAGAATTCGTCAATGCCAAAACAAAACAAATAATAAAAGGAAAGTCACCGTTTTTGCCAAATGAGACAACCGGATTTTATCTATCTCCCGTTCGTATTTGTGAACCTTCACTCACCATAGTTTGTTGCCAAACGACGAAAACTCCGAAGGCTATCCTCCAGGTGTGGGAGAGGCCTATAAGGATGAGGATTGTCACTGATCACTGAATAAAACTCAGTAACGAGAATGCTGCAGTTTTCATCACACATAATGTGGAGTGCAGTAAATTGGGGAATCCATTTGGTCAAAAAGTATTCTGTAACACGAAGAGTGAGGTAACATTTACGTAAGTCCCGGCTTATGGATTCCTACTTAAGGGATGAAAGGTTGTAAGTTGAAGGAAAGACAAAGAGTGGTAGTTATGCAACTTGGCGGTTCGAGGACAAAATAAGATTGAAGAAGAAAAGTGCCATATCTAGTAACCAAAATTTGATAAGGATGACCAGGTACCCGTATACGGGATGAGTGCGCAAGAGTTACAAGAAAACTGAAAAGGCAAGCTCTGAAGAACAAAAACCAAAGTAGTGACGATAGAGAACGAACAGTGAAGCACCTGCTAGACAATGAGCTAGTGACTACAGAGAGAGAGAGAAATAATCGACTGGTCGGAAGGCCTTTCACTGAAGACGATTAAAAAGGGAGAGCAAAGAACGAAACCCCGCCTCACATAGGATTGCAGTATTCAAGAGCAGGGCAGATTCCAGCATTTTACAGTAGATGAGCGAATGTGCTGGTGGTGGCGCAGTGGTTTAGAGGCTATCACAGGCGTGTTTTGACCCTATGTTCCGAGGTTCGAGCGCCGCCATCATCACCCGACTTTGGTGGTAGGCAGCTTGGCTGTCGTCCGGTTCAACAACACACCTAACCTATCGGGACCTTATGTGGTTCACCACTCCAAGTCCTGGGGATTAGGTTGCCAGGTTCCATCACTGAACAGCAGATCATCTTGACTATGGGGCTTTCCCCGTCTGCTGTTCATCACAAAAAAGTGTGATAAAAAAGCCACCCCAGTGCACAGCACGAGGAGCAAGCTGAGATATAAAAGAGGACTAGCAGAAGAAAAGGACAATCCAAGAAGATAAACGGAATCTGCGGGTTGCAGTTGGGTGGAATCAAAAGAAAAGACAGGACAAATGAATGGTGCTTCGGACAAATTGAAATAAGGGAGGCTTGGGAGGCATTGAATGCAAAATGATTGTCACTGCACCAGAAGATGTGCTTGAGACCAGAGTCCAGTGGCACACTGCACTACGGTCATAATTGATGTTGGTTTGAACATGACGAATAACGCAATAGGAGTGGGAGCAGCGGAGGGTGGCATCATTGGCAGAACGAATTGAGTTGACAGTTTTACGAAAGAGAACATTGATAAATAAAAGAGGGCGGGTGCAAGTAATGACCTCGGGGAGAGCCAGCTGAGACAGAACCCCAACTCGAACGGAGATCGTTAGCTTACTGAGGAAGCTTGATATCCACGATATGAGAGCCCGGGAGAACCTGAAAATGGACATTTTCACCATTAGACCTTCGTGTCAAAGCCGATCGAAGGTTTTGATATATCTGTCCAGACCAAGTATGTTTCTCCGAGGTTAACCAGTTTTTTCCTCCACTTCACATCTACCTTCGTCAAACATTCCCATTATTATCAAGATCAAGCAGACACTCGTACTACCAACTGTGCCTCCGATGTGAATTCCGTCCCTTTTCACTCGCGTCCTGCCTCGAATAGCGTCCAAGTCTCACCGAAACCTTCTCCACTAGTTGAAGCTCTTCTTCGTTCTCGATGCCCATTCAAACTAGCCACATTTAACGTGCATACCTTGATGCGTATAGAACAACAGGCGTGTTTAGCTCACACTCTCGAGATCCTATCCATCGATGTGCGTGTGACTGCGATAAGTTGTCTCAACCAGCATGCTTAGCCGTCTTTTAAAACGCGTTAGCCGAAAAGCTAGAAAAAACCCCATCTGATAACATCAGTGAGCACTGATCGCTTATCAAGAATGCTGTGCATTATGCTGGTTTAGTTAGTTGTAATCTGACACGCCGTTTCGTGACACCCTGGATTTCCGCTGAGTCTCTGCGCCTTCTTGACGTACGTCAGTCACTTCCGACCGGCAGCGAGCATAACTTAACACGGCTTGTAATGAGAGGTGAACTTAACGTAAGCCTACGCAGAGATCGCGAGATCTAGTGGTCTCAACGCACATCAGAAATGGAATGTTCTACCGCCATGGGAAATTCCCGTAAGCTGTTCCATCTCATTCGAATCACCGGCAGGAAAACTTTGGGTGTGAGCGAAGTTGACGGCTCGCTTATTCACACACAACAGCGACGTCTTGAACGCTGAGCGGAGTACTTCAAAGCACAAATTAGCTGGCCATCAGCGTCAGCTTCTTACACAGCTATTCCGGCACATCCCATGGTCTGTATCAACAGATCCATCCCCTGAGGCCGAAATTCGTATAGAAAGCCAAGCCTTGTGACGTCACAAAACGCCGGGTTCCGATGACCTTCCTGCTGCTCTATTTAAAGATGATGGAATAAAGCTTGCTAGAAAACTGTTCTCTAAAGTTTGGAACACCGAGCAGGTCCCCTCTTCGTGGGGTGGAGTCGATTGCCGTCCCCATCTTTAAAAAGGGCTCGCGCAATGATTGCGCCAATCATAGGGGTATAAGCCTGATCCCAATAGCGTCAAAGCTGTTAGTGTCCGTCATTCTTCGTAGATTGTACAAAACGCGCGAGAAACATGCTCGTGAGGAGCAGGCTGGGTTTCGTGCCGGTCGTGGATGCATCGATCATATCCTCACCCTCCGACAGTTGCTTGAGCACCGCCATGCTTAACATAGATCATTGTGTTCTTAAACATTCGCTCGCCCTTCGATTCTGTTGATAGGACCGCACTATGGAACTGTTTGCTGAGGAATGGAGTACCTGAGAAGTGTGTCGATCCTCAAAGAGTTGTATCGTCATACCTCAGGTCGGGTTAGAGAGCCTATGGCCAGCTTTCACCCCACCCCCATTTTGCCGTCTCCAGTGGAGTTCGACAAGGCTGCCCTATATCCCCATTCCTTTTCAACTTTTGTCATAGAGGATGTTCTGCAGAACGCTTTGTCCGGTCTAGCAAACGGTGGGGTTGAACTCCTCCCAGGGAACAGAGTTCTTGTCTTAGGATATGTCGATGACATCGCCTTGTTGGGTGACAACTCACAGGCAGTTCAACAAGCTTTACACCAATTGGGGATAGAGGTATCTAGGCATGGTATGTGCTTCGCGCCATCAAAGCAGTTTTCACCAACCTGAGACACCTGTGACATCCAACTGTCCCCTAAGAGGAGGGTGTATATTGCCGCAGTTCGTAGTGTTTTCCTTTAAGGTTGCCAGACCTCTCCGAGCAGAGGATGTTAATCGACTATCCGTATTCGACCACCGATGTCTTCGAAGCATTGCTCGTGTCTGGTGGGAACATCGGGTGAGCAATGATGAAATTCGTCCTCGTGTGCTGGGTACTGATAGTCGTTCTCTAACGGAAGAAATCGTTCTACACTGCATCCCATGGCTCGGTCATGTTTTGCGTATGCCTACCCATCGACTACCTCTCCGTGCTCTCTTTGCACGTGCCGGGCAAGGTTGAAAAAAGCGCCGTGGCGGTCAGGCCATGACGTGGCGTAGAGGCA